CGCGCTTCGTCTTAGGTTCGCCCGCAAGTACGGCTGGCCCCTTGCGCTTCACATCCTTGGTCTTGGTCTTCTTGTCTTCTGGATTAGCATCTGGGAGCTCAAGGAGGGAAAGGCGCCCCTCCTCAGCCCTCGCGCACTTGTTTGCCATGTTGAACATCTTCAGAGCCGTGCAGAGATCCTCATGGATGGCGAGCTCCTCTTTCATCTTGACATCTTGGACGCCATCAGAGAATGTTGAAATGATGACCTCGTCCGACACCTTGGGAATCTTGACGCGCACGTTGTTGAAGCAGGGTCTCTCCAGGTTGCTGCTTGATGCGATGTAGGTCACCCGCGGTCGGCGGGCGGTCGCGAGTGCCCTAGAAGTTGGCGATGAAGCGGCTGCACATCTCCTCCAAATAAGAGATCGACCCCTCGGGTAGGTTCAGGATCCAAGAACGCGTGCCATCCTTGAAGGCCATCGGAAATCAGTTTGCCATGATCTTCTCATCGTCGCTGGCCTCCTCGATGCTCAACTTGTAGAACTGCATGAACTCGGCGCGGTCGGCGGTGCCGTCGTAGCGTGGAGGCAGGTCGGGCTTGAACTTGCTTGGCCAGACGATGTTGCGGAGCTCCTGGGTGAACGTGCGGCATCCTGCCGTGGCCGATGGAGGTCCTCGAGGAGGGAGACACTGGTCCTGGTGCACGCGCACCGCCACCTCCTGCGGTGGTACGTGGGCCTGGTGCTGGGGTGCTGGAAGCACGCGCGTTTATCTTGGTGGTCGCTGCACCACCTGGCAGCTCACGTCCTCCCGAGCCAGCGTAGGGCGCGGTGGGTCGCGCCGTGGTGTCGCACGCCTTGGGCCGACAATGACGCCCTGGGCTGGAGGTGGTGGAGGATCCCCGTGTGCCACGTTGCCCGCTGCAGGTGGTTGCTGAGGCAGCGAGCGAGCCGGCTCGGTGGAGCCCCCGTGCACGACGCTGACGAGCTCAGCGATCTGCTCGAGCCACTCCTCGTAGAGGTCACCCACCGAGCGGTAGAGAAGGAGCTATTGCACCATGAGCAGAGCGGCCTGCGCGTCCGCCTGGCCGCGACGCGTGTGGGATGACGAAGCTGCTGGGGTCAATGACGGAGTAGCGGTGCACCCGTCAAGGTGCACCGACGGGTGCAGCGATGAAGCTTGCTGCTCGTGGCCGGCAAGGCCGGTAGCGGCGTTGGCCGCCGGAGACAGAGCACGACGGGCAAAACCATCGCCCGTCGAAGCTTTCTGAGCGACGCGGGCGGCGACTGCGGCCCGGCGCTCGGCGCGAGCTCGGCGTGCGTCAGCCATAAAGGCGTCGGAGTGGCAGGAGACCGGTCGACGGAGGAGAGGATCCGATGCACCCCTACCTGGCGCGCCAAATGTCGGATTACGGGTTCCGCAAACCCTTGAGAGGTTCGAACACTGGGGTGCGTGCGGAGATCTTAACCTACCCAGCCTACCTACTCGCGATCCTTCTAAGCCTAGTGCGTCAAACTCAAAGAGACACAACCGTTTATACTGGTTCGGGCCATCGTTGCGATGTAATACCCTAATCCAGTGTGGTGTGGTGGATTGCCTCGTAGGCTGGGAATGAACTAGTATAATGGATGAACTGGCCTCAGGAGGTGAGGTGTTCTTGAGCTCGAGGGAGCTGGTGTGGTGTGAGCTAGTTCGATCTCCCCGTCCTATGGTGGTGGCTAAGTCCTATTTATAGTGGCCTTGGTTCTCTTCCCAAATGTTGGCGGGAAGGGATCCCACAACGGCTGGATTTGAAAGGGGACAAATAGTACAACTTATCCTGACAAAAGTAGTCTTCGCCTGCGAAAAGCCTCTGTTCGTGGCACTGCGGTGGGCTCGTCGATGACCTCCGTCCTGCCGTCCTGGCGGTCTTGGTCTTGTTGCACCAGAATGAAAACCTTTAGCTGATTCCTCGGGACTCCGCGCCTGTGGCTTGCCTCCTTTGCACCGAAGTGGAAACCTGCGGTCTGCGCCCGCCTGGCCTTGGTCGTCATGGCTCACGTCAGCTGAGCCTCGCGAGGTAAACCTTGCATAGAACTCTCCGCCCCTCGGGAGCTAGCCTGAGGAGGTTGATCCCCTTGGGGTTCTTGGCGCCATCCGACTCGCGAGGCTTGGCCCCTCGCGAGGGTCTTGAGTTGTTGATGTCGAATCTGGGCCGTACCAGGCCGTCGATGGAGCCACGTGATGGGCCGCAGGTAGGCAGGGCTGGATACCCCCATATCCAGGACGCCGACAGGCTTCACCTACCTAAATTGTGCTCCATCAATGAGTGAATTAGTTGACTAATTTGTGAAAAATTCCCAATTACGATGAAAGTGCTTTGCAATGCACTTCGAGTAGGTCTTCATGCTTTGATTGACCCCTCCTACCAGATCAATGCTCACACTTTTCCATGCCATCACTAATGCCGCATCCTTGGTCATATTGAAGTTACTCCCCCTTGCGCACCTCTTTGTTTTTGGAGCGGCAACCTCAACGACATTATCTTCACCTCGAGAGGAGTGGACAAAGAAAGGTCGTCTATACCTATCGATTCATTCATCATGTCGTCAAACCATTGCTCACTACGGCCCAGTTTTTTTGCCAGAATATGGGGATTCTTCCAGAATCCGACCCCTACCCAGCTTCTCCCAGAATCTTTGAGCCCCCTTTGTTCTACAATCCTGTCTAGTTACGGTCTAATTAGACAGGATTGTAGAACAAATGGGGCTCAAAGATTCTGGGAGAAGCTGGGTAGGGGGCGGATTCTGGGAGAATCCCCAGATTCTGGCAAAAGAACTGGGCCTACATCATTTGCAATGTGGAAATTTGCAAGTATAAAACTAGTACAAGAGAAACAAAAAAAAACCTTTGTTCCATTTCGCCGAACAAATCGTGGGCTTCCTCTATCATGTTGTCATCATCGGCCTTCGGGAACGGCGGAACAAAATGCGGTGCCTCCGGGCTGAATGCCGACGGAATGGTCGTGAAGGAGGGCATTGGAGGCGCTATGCAGGAGGCCGCCGCGACCGCCGCCGCCATCAGGAGGTGGCAGGAGGAGGGATCGTCTGCGCAGAGACAAAGAGGCCCATGAATTTTTAGCATGATGAGGAGGTTGTTGCTTCCCGCATTGTATTGGAAGAGGGATTGGGTGGAGGGTGAAAAATCCTCAAAATATTGGGAGAGATGGGGCTGATTATCAGGACATCCCGCTAATTTTTTGGGGAAAGAAAGTCCACAATACAAGAAATTTATTGGGGAAATGGAGAGTCTTGGAGACGCTCTTACACTTAGCAGAGTGTGCCATAGTGCAATCTCTAAGGATGTTGTATTTTTTTTTTGTAATGAGCCGAGTCACTAGTGTTGAACGGGCTATTAAGATGATACTCCATCCTTCCCAAAATATAAGACACCGACTGACTTTTCTGGTCTTCGTTACACAACTTTGACTATGATTTTTTTATATATTATTATATGTCTACAAAATTAGTGTACATACATATGAAGCAAAATTGTTTTGAAAGACAAATATGACAATGCCATTTATACATGTACTTTGATATATATATATATATTAATGAACGGTCAAAGCCGTGCATCAGAGACCGTGCAAAGCCGATCACACCTTATGTTTGTTTTAGGAAGAAGGAAGCAGATTGTTTATACTTACTATTATTGCTTAGTTTAGTTTTTGTATGTACGTAATGGCGTATGGAATTGGGGAGCTGGTGCTCTTTCGTCTGTTTGTCATTTTTCAAGTGGTGGCTGGCTCAGGCTTTCACCGCACATCCCATCCCATCCCATCCCATCCCATCCAATTCCCATCATCAACGGCTAGCTGAGTCAGTCAATCCGGTTCCGTTGAGTTGTTTTTGGATTTGGATCTTGCTCCCCGCCCTTCCGACACCCTCCACACTCCCCTCAGTGCTCCCCTCTACTAGAGGTTACCAAAATGGACATCATGAAATGCCACCGGCTATTTGTCTACCCATTGAGCAATGTAGAGAGGAGAAAGAAGAGAGGAGAGAAAAATAAAATGGGTCCTAGCTAGGCTAAGTTGGTAGGATTCTTCTGCTTTTGGACCCCTTTAGAGCTCCCCCGATTTGACGAGGGTTTGTAGGATTTCGGTTAGTCCGGACATTCGGGGGATTTTACGAGCTGCATTCGCCTTTTACCCGTCCAGCGGTGGTGGCCGTAGACGTCATCATTCTTTTTTCTTTTGTTGGTTCTATTGCAAAATAAGTGTCGTGGTTTTAGTGTTTTTTTTCGACGCCACATGATCTGGGCTGTTGGTTTGTGATCCAACGGACGTGTTATGGGCGTGTCACTGGATCTTCGTCCGGCTAGGAGAATAGGAAGAAGGAACCGAGCATGGTGGAAAGAAAGACGCGCCGCGCGTAGAGCGGCGGCTGAATGGAGCACCTTTTTCGGACCGCCCCGCGGATCGGCAGGCTCTAGAAATGAAGGGGATCTGCGACTGTCTTGGTCCACACTCTCTTTTCTCTTGCTAGTTCGTCTCGTTCATTTCTTGCTGCGTAAGTTTGGTTTTGCTTGCTTGCTTCACCTTCAGCAAGAAAACAAGAGATTGCATGCCTTATCTAGGCCCAGTTCTTTTGCGAGAATCCGAGGTAGGGGCCCTACCCAGCTTCTCTCAGAATCTCTGAGCCGCATTTGTTTTGAGCTGTCGCCAGTCCTCACTGTTTTTTTTTTTTGTCTATCCTGCTGCCTCCGCCTTTTTCGAAAGCGGCCACGACCCACGCGGGCTTCTGGGGTCTCTGACTGGGCGGCGGGACCACGGACACGCCCGGCCCCACGGGTCAGCGGCTCTACAGTGCCCCGCCTGGGACTCCCCGTCAGCCGCACACATGCGCAGGCAGCATCCAGTCCAATAATTAAAGCAAAGGCTTGGCTTCTCCCACACCTCACTCCCTCACTCCCCAAGCTCACTCTCACTCTCCCACCCACTTCAAACCCCTCCATCCCAAACCCCAGCCAGCCACCATGGCCGCCAACCCCCGGAGCGGGACCAAGAGGCTGACCGGCGGCGGCCATGGGGGCGCCGCGGCCCTCCTCCTCCTCCTCTGCTGCACCGCGTCCATGGCGCTCACCCCGGACGGTACGGCACCGCCGCATTCCATTCCCAATCCATCTACTCTACTGTACTGAATAAATCTACCGAACCAAGAGAGCTGACGTGATGTGCTGGTTCGTCGCAGGGGAGGCGCTGCTGGAGCTGAAGCTGGCCTTCAACGCCACGGCGGGGCAGCGGCTGGGCAGCTGGCGGGCCGCCGACCCCAACCCCTGCGGCTGGGAGGGCGTCTCCTGCTCCTTCCCGGACCTCAGGGTCCAGGCCATGTACGCCTCATCCTGCCTCCTCCTCCTCCTTCTTCTTCCCCCTTCCTCCTCCTCCTCCTCCATTCTAGATCAGATTCAGTAGACTGAGTGTCCGGCATTTTTGGTTTCTCTCCATTGGATTGTTGCGGGGGTGCTGGCACGGTTCCCCATGCATGCGTCTGCTCCTTCCTTCTTGGATTCCTTAGCCCCGCCCGTGAATGAATGAATAATCTCTCCCTTTGTTTTTGTGTGGGCAGAAATCTGCCGTATATGCAGCTCGGAGGCATCATCTCGCCCAGCATCGGCAGGCTCACCAAGCTGCAGAGACTGTAAGTTTCATTTTCCTTTTTTACCACCTCCACAAATCCACCGTTCAATGGATGCATATGCACTGGCCTCAAATCCCCTGTTTCTTCCTTCAGAGCTCTGCACCAGAACAGCCTGCACGGCCCCATCCCCGCCGAGATCAGGAGCTGCACCGAGCTCAGAGCCATGTAAGTAAAAACACTAGTATGGTGTACCCTCTCTCTGGTTTATACTACTAGTGGTTCATTGCATATTTTTTTGTTTGGTTGGTACACTACTAGTAGTAGATTTGATGAATCAGATTGCTGAAATAAGATGTGGGTGCTCTGATTGTCTGTATCTTCTTCAGTTACCTGAGAGCCAACTACCTGCAAGGCGGCATCCCGCCGGGGATCGGCGACCTCACTCACCTCACCATCCTGTAGGTCCTTGGCACCACCATCCTCCCCTTTGTTACACGGTTTGACGCTCTAATGTGTTGTCAGTCTGATGATGCTTGTCAAAAAAAAAAATGCAGGGACCTGTCCAGCAATCTGCTGCGGGGCGCGATACCGGCGACGATCGGGAGCCTAACTCATCTGCGGTTCCTGTAAGTTGTTGGGGATGTGATCTGAATCTCATTGACAATGCCTACAGTTTCAGTTCACAAGGGTGCTGATGGAAAAGTTTGAACTGGCAATGTAGGAACCTCTCCACCAACTTCTTCTCGGGAGAGATCCCGAATGTCGGCGTCCTCGGAACCTTCAAGAGCAGCTCGTAAGCTTAGCTCCGGCCTCATCTCCATCCTTCCAGTTTGTGTGTCTTTCTTTATGCTGTCGGTAGATGTTGCAAATGTGAATGAGTGGTACTATCTTTTAGTTTGTACCACAGCTGCACTGTATCAGCTTCAGCTTGGTTTTAATGCTCTGGTGTGTTTCAATTCAAATGCTGCAGGTATGTCGGAAATCTGGAGCTTTGTGGGCTGCCCATACAGAAAGGTTGCCGCGGAACCCTTGGGTTCCCTGCGGTGCTGCCGCACTCTGACCCCCTCTCCTCCTCTGGCAAGTCTTAAATTCTAACGCTGCCTTCACAATGTGGGGACTAATTTTTGAATCTTGGTAGGATCTGTGTTACTAACTGATGTGGTCATTTATTTTTGGTCACCATATAGGTGTTTCTCCAATCACCAACAATAACAAAACTTCACACTTTCTGAATGGTGTTGTGATCGGTTCAATGTCAACCATGGCCGTCGCGCTGGTCGCGGTGCTCGGCTTCCTCTGGGTATGCTTGCTGTCCAGGAAGAAGAATGGTGTCAACTATGAGAAAATGGACAAGCAAACTGTCCCGGATGGTAATGGAAAAACTGACACCAACTATGTCACTCGATAATTTTGTCCAGGCTCACTAACTAACTGCGTGATATCTTGACGACTTAGGTGCAAAGCTTGTGACATACCAATGGAACCTTCCGTATTCGTCGGGAGAGATCATTAGAAGGCTGGAGCTGCTCGACGAAGAGGATGTGGTTGGTTGCGGCGGGTTTGGTACGGTGTACAAGATGGTGATGGATGATGGCACGGCGTTTGCCGTCAAGAGGATTGACCTCAACCGAGAGAGGCGAGACAAGACTTTCGAGAAGGAGCTCGAGATCCTGGGCAGCATTAGGCATATCAACCTTGTCAATCTGCGAGGATACTGCCGGCTCTCCACGGCCAAACTGCTCATATATGATTTCATGGAGCTGGGCAGCTTGGACAGCTACCTCCATGGTAATGCACATTATATATCTCTGACATACTAGTAGCTACTATTTCGTCATAGTGGTTGCAATGCCATCTTGTGTTAACTGGTGCTTACTGTACCGTGTTATCAATGCAGGTGATGCGCAGGAGGATCAGCCATTGAACTGGAATGCGCGTATGAAGATCGCCCTGGGCTCCGCTCGAGGGCTGGCGTATTTGCACCACGATTGCTCACCGGGGATCGTCCACCGGGACATCAAAGCAAGCAACATCCTTCTGGACAGATGCTTGGAGCCGCGCGTGTCTGATTTCGGCCTCGCGAGGCTGCTGGTGGACAACGAGACCCATGTTACCACTGTCGTGGCGGGTACCTTTGGGTACCTAGCACCAGGTACTTGTTCTACTTCTCTCGATGCTAACGTTATATGTTGTGTTCATTTTTCTAACACGTTTGTAGGACATGTTTGTATTAATCCTTTCCTGCCATCATCTGAAAGAAACTCTTTTAACTGAAGGTGATTGTGTAGTTTCTGTTTAGAAGTACTGCTTGACACAATTCAAATTTAGACATCTCGTGTTCTCAAAAAATTAATAGCTTACCTTTATCTTCTAGTAGTACCTTAAGTCCAAACTAACAAAAAGCTTTACTGTCAGAGTACCTGCAAAACGGGCACTCGACCGAGAAATCAGACGTGTATAGCTTCGGGGTGCTTTTGCTGGAGCTGGTGACCGGAAAGCGGCCTACGGATTCTTGCTTCCTCAACAAGGGCCTCAACATCGTCGGCTGGGTAAGTAAAGCAGTCTTGTTCCAAAGCTGTTGCAACCAGTGATATATTCCACTCCAAAGAAGCCTCCCTCCATGCCCTGGATCCCAAAGCAAGAAAGGAAGCGAGCAACTCTGATGAATAATGCACTCTGATGTCTGAACATTTGGTTTACTGTCGAAATGCATGCAGCTGAACACGCTGAGCGGGGAGCACCGGCTGGAGGAGATATTGGACTCGCGGTCGGGCGACGCGGAGGTGGAGGCGGTGGAGGGGATCCTGGACATCGCGGCCATGTGCACGGACGCGGACCCGGGGCAGCGGCCGTCGATGGGGGCGGTGCTCAAGATGCTGGAGGAGGAGATCCTGTCGCCCTGCCTCAGCGAGCTCTACTACGAGCAGCACCTGGAGCTCTGAGAGCTTCGAGTTTAGGTGAGCGAGTGAGTGAGTGAGTGGAGCAGCACCAGTTGTGCTGGTACTGCTGCTCATGGAAGAAGAAGCTCAGGTTTTTGTAGATACTTGATGATGAACCACCTTGTTAGGAGGACTAGTTGTCATCTCTAAGATGCGCTGTGCCCAGGTAGTGAGTGGTTCTTGGGTCAGAACCAGAACCAAAGTAGTAAATTGACTGTGCTTTGTACATAGGGTTCGAGATCTTGAGCTTTTTTCCTCTTCTTTTCTTTTATATCGCTTTTCCTTTTCTGCGGTTGCTTCTTCCTTTCAGAATTTTCCTTTTCATTTTGGCATTTTTGACTGCATGGCCACTTTGAACCAAATCACACAAGTAGGACAGGCAAAGTAAACTGGGAGCTGGTTGGTGGAAAATACGCTTGCCTCTGGGGCGCCCATGGACAAGTGTGTTTGGCTCTCGGGTATGTGTGCACTTTTTTTTTTGAACACAAGCGCTTGTATACACGCGCATACACTCACCCCTATGAACGCACATACGCACACCCTACCCCCTATGAGCACCTCCGAAAGACTGAGCCGGCATACACTCTCGGGTATATATGCACTTGATATGATCTTTTTTAGTAGTTGTAATAAAAAAAAGTCAAAAGTCATGAAACTTGTTTGAAAACAAACTTCACCTTCTATTGTGATTGTGTACAAAGTTTGTTTCACGAATGCTTGGTTTTCATGGTATTCTGGGTGGAAAAAAAAGTCAACAATATATACAAGTTACTATTCATGTGTATTGTCCTAAAAAAATTGTTTCTTTACCCCGAAGTCGACGGTGTTTTTTCCTGGTGAAACTTTTTATACAAGTTGAAGATTGTTTTTGAAAAAGTTTTGCATTTTGTTTTGTATTTTTGTCAATTATTTTTTTCTATATGAGGTGCATATACATCGGAGGCAAGGGTGAAAAGGGGGTACACTCAGACCAAAGTGGGAAAAATTAGAGGGGTGGTACTAGTAGTCTCACCTTTTGTCAACAGCTTAATGGTATTAGTACTATATATAGTTTAGGAGAGGCATGCAGTGGCATTAGCCTTTATGATTAGTTTATGAGAGGACTGTTGGAGAATCTGTTGCTGATGGAGTGGCTCCAAATATTCCAGCTTTTCTTGGGCTGGACAAGCAGGAATCCTGGCTGCTGCACAATGCTCCAAGATTAAATTACTTTCACCGTTGGACGCATCCGTCCACGCCACGTCACACGTGGAGAAACGAGCCCATCCTACTCGAAATCTCCATCGCAGCAGCTTAGAGGGTGCTTGATACGTTTTACTCCCATGACTAAAAGTAATGGGACTAAAATTTGCTAGCCTCAACAATGCTTGGATTCAAATAGTAAAGAGACTAAAATCAAGTTAATAAGCATTTATTATCCTCCAAACCCTGCAATCCAGAACTCGCATGTGGTAAAAGAGAGGAGTTAAATGAGGAGAGAGAGGACTATTCCACGTTTTAGTAGGGGTACCCCTGACTAAATTTTTTTAGTTTCAAGACTAGTTTTAGCCTCTTTTTAGTCAGGGGTGCTTGGAACTTTAGCCTCTTAAAAGACTATTTTTAGTTAGAGTAAAATAAGTCCCTTGAATCCAAGCACCCTCTTACTTGATGGATGGGAAGTGAGATCTGAATGAATGAATGGATATTGACACCATGTTCAAGATGGAGCATGCAGCATTTTCTTCCTTCTTGGAAACTTGAGCCCACACCATGCGGAACCGGATCCTCTAACATTCACAAGAAAAGTCACCGTGCTACAGTGCTAGTCTAGTGTAAATTCAAGAAAGTTAGGAACTGTTAGCAAGTTGTTTACTGTTGATATTTACTGTAGATATAAATAATTTAAAATTAATTTTATTTCACCATCAATTTTTTTGTATGTAGTTACTATAAATGTACATAATAGATCCTCAATTTATAAATTAGTTCAAATCATTTTAACCTTAATCATATGAATAGAAAGAAGGAAAGTTAGGATATTGTAGCTTCTTTAACATTCCTTGTGAATGTTAGAGGATCCAGTTCCACACCATGCAAAGATGATTTCGAAAAGTGGCTTGCTCCTGACTGTAGCAGTAGCAGGTCGAGCGAGCCCACACCACCTGCCTTGGCCTGCTGCTGCATGCCTTTATACGCATGGACATCCAGTGCAGGAGGACGCAGAGAAAGGCTCCTGCTGCATCTGCATTTAATAAGAATTTCTTAATTACGCGGCCCTGCCCTCCCTTCATGTGTGAAAATAAATAAATCTACCATTTTTCTAAAACTCGATTCAAATTTTTTGTTCACAAAATAACCCATTTGCATGACGTTCGGGGCTGGGCGCATGACGATCTAGGCCCTGGCCCTAGGTTAAGGCAGCTGTCGCGCAATCTAGGATGTCGCCTCCTGCCAAGGCGTCATGCTATCTAGCATTGCCTCTTAGGGCACCATGCTATCTAGCGTGACGCCCAGCGTCGAGCATCGTGCAAATGAGTCATCTTTATGATTCTGTTTAGATCCTATTCATTCTGTGCTAGTTTTTAAGAAGAGCTATATTTGTCCATTTTCACACTATGTGTAGCGGATCAATCAGATGTAACATGTGTCAGTGTGTAATCAAGACATCGGGGGTCAAGGATACCCGTATTCTTCTTGGTTCGGCTAGGGGCTAAAAACACTTTGCCAAATCACGACCAAAAGATCGTGCACAAACACAGGTATTTTATACAGGTTCGGGGCGCTATCTGAGCGTAATACCATAGTTCCAGTTGGTACTGATATGAATGGGAGTGATGCAAGTGCTTCTATCTTACAATAAGGGTGGTCAGGGTGTGACCAGTGATGGTCGGGGTCTACTTAGAGTGCCCGAGCACTCCTATCTCTAGATTCTCCCTTCCTGCTACTCAGGGCATCTCTAAGGCCGACCCGGAAAACTCACGCAATCGTCCGGACTGCGCGGTCCAAACGTGTTGTGCCATCCAACGCGTGCCTGTATTGGTCCGTAGGGCGGTCCAGATGTACTTTCTCCCGCAAATCGCAGACAAATGCGAGAAGGCTTTGCGGGTGTCCAGACAACACCCAAGCCCACTTCTGACCACACTAGCTCACCCAAACCCCCTACTCTCTCACATGTGCGCGTTCCCGCCCGACATCAGCTGTCCGGATTCATGCCGCTGTAGAGAGTGTGGCTCCACATCGAAGACGACTTAGGGCGGATGCGACCTCTCACTTCATCCACCATTGAAGCGACACGCGACCGAGGGCGCCGCACACCCTGCTAAACGTGCCTCCTCGCCGCATTCAAACACCTCCATTAAACCTGCGTGGAAGCCGAGGAATCTACTCCGGTCACACATCCGTTCCCGAGCGGGCGACATTAAACAAAACGTCGGGCATGCTCCTCATGTCTGCCCACTATTTGAAGGAGGTCAGATGTCGGGCAAGAGTCGCACCACTCCGCTCCCCATCTCCTCCTTCCACCAATTTCTCCACCCTTTCGATAGCATCGATGAGCAGGAAGATCATTTCTCCGGCACAAAAGCCGGCTGGGTGGCCTGCCAGATACAAAAGGGGCCGAGGAGGTAATATGGGCTCAGATGCCAAACTGAAAGTGATGAAGGGAACTCGCCTGTCAAGCCGAAGACTCTAGAGCTAAAGACATGTATCCAAGGAAGATTGTCGTCCCCGACGTCGAAGACCAGTTCAGGGGCTATTGACGGTGTCCTGGACTAGGGGAACCAACCTAGTTGGCCCACAATCCACAGGCTGAGCCTACGGCCCATCTTTCTTACAAGGAAAGACTCTGGAAGCCTCGCACTTTGGTGTGATCAAGGTGGACTTCGCCGAAGACTTGACGTGCACTCCAAGGACTGTGTTGGCTGCCGGCGCGTGTATCCCTAGATTGACAACCGACCATGTGTTACCCTGGGTACCCCCAATGTCTATATAAACTGGGGGGGGGGTAGTCCGTAGAGACCACGGTCACAATTACAACCATCTAGCCTTAGGGTTAGAACACAACTTACGATTTTGAGGTAGATCAAGCTTGTAATCGATACATCATCATCATCATCAATACAACCAAAGCAGGACATGGGGTTTTACCTCTTTGAGAGGGCCCAAACTTGGATAAACATTGTCCCCTTCGTCTCATGTTACCCATAGATCCGAGATCCACGGGTTGGGACCCCCTACCCGAGGTCTGCTGGTTTTAGTACCGATTGTTGGGAAACGTAGCATGCAATTTCAAAAAAAAAATCCTACGTGCATCCCGTAACTTGCCCGAGATTCGATCGTCGGTATCTTCATACCTAGTTCAATCTCGTTACCGGCAGGTCTCTTTACTTGTTCCGTAATGCATCATCTCGTAACTAACTCATTAGTCATATTGCTTGCAAGGCTTCATATGATGTGCATTACTGAGAGGGCCCAGAGATACCTCTCCGATACTCGAAGTGAAAAATCCTAATCTCGATCTATGACAACCCAACAAACACCTTCAGAGATACCTAAAGAGCATCTTTATAATCACCCAGTTAGGTTGTGAAGTTTGATAGCACACAAGGCATTCCTCCGGTGTCCGGCTATTGCATAATCTCATAGTCGGAGGAATATGTATTTGACATGAAGAAAGCAGTATCAATAAAACTGAACGATCATTATGCTATGCTAACGGATGGGTCTTGTCCATCATATCATTCTCCGAATGATGTGATCCCATTCATCAAATGACAATACATGTCCATGGCTAGGAAACTTAACCATCTTTGATCAACGAGCTAGTCAAGTAGAGGCATACTAGGAACACGATGTTTTGTCTATGTATTCACACATGTATCAAGTTTCCGGTTAATACAATTCTAGCATGAATAATAAACATTTATCATGAATAAGGAAATATAAAATAACAACTTGATTATTGCCTCTAGGTCATATTTCGTCCAGTCTCCCACTTGCACTAGAGTCAATAATCTAGATTACAT